AACGAATACGAAAATAAATCAAACCAACCTTAAAAAAGTGCGAGAAATCTAGAATTGAAGGTCAAAAGTATATAATTTCTTGTGAAACTTGAATGTTTTCCCCATAAAATGGAACCTACATTTTGGTATATGTATATACGTTTATTTTAACTATGATATATGTTTCTAATCACACCCATAAAGTAACTTAAAGTAACATAAAAGTAACCCAGAAGTAAAATGTATATGTGTTTAAAAAAGGCAAAAATCACTTTAATGAATTAAAGTTAATCTTTGATTTTTTCAGAGATTTTTGTGATTCCTTTTTATCAAATACAGTTAAGTATAGAATATTTTTTTTTTAAATTTCCCTTCCCTTTTGTATAAAAACTAAAATATATGAATAAAATATAAATATATATTCCTGTATTTTATTGAGGATGAATAACAAAATGTTAAAAAATAATTTAGGAATTGCTAAAATTTTAACAGATTTAGTTTTAACTACCAAACCTAAAGGCAACAATCAAAGCTCCTTAATAAATTTTTATACATACTTGCATAATGCGTTGTTACTTAAGTTTTGTAGCGTATAAAGTGAAATACAAGTTCAACAATCAGCTCAGAACAAAAACGTAGTCAGTCATTTTCATGCTTGCAAAGTAGAGAATTCCTACTAAACGATTTAAATCTAAAGCTTGTATTTAATTGAATTATAGATCTCTAAATAAAGACAGCATTCTGCAGAAATAACGCTGTTATTATTATATAATTTTTCATGAACATAGTAGAAATCTTGAAGTGAAAATTTATATATTAACTAATTAGTGTATTTATGCAGTTAAGGAATAATGATTTATATCGTGTAAGAGTACGATTACAGTGCAGTAACATTCTTACTTTCAGAGAAGTTGACGCAGTCTTGAAGAATTAATAATTAGATTGAAATAACTTGTGGTAGAGAATATAAAAAAAAATTGGTATATAGTAAAATTAAATAATCATTGATATACTCTGTTAACTTTGAAACTTATGCAAATTTCAGTATAGAAAAAACATTTCGAAAATTTGCCAAAACCAATTTGAGATAAAGATAACTTTGGAAGATCATTTGACTAACCGAACAATGATTCAAAGTTTTTTATCATAGAAGAAATGATTATTGGCGTTTCTGCCATTTCCAGAATTTTTGTTTCTACCATTTCAGCTAATATGGGCTGCTTGACTGAGAAATTTTATACAATATTTTGTATTTTGAATAAATTAGATTTATTCCTTTATTTCCAACACAAATATAAGTTCCCGTTGTTATAATATATTATTCGTTTTTTAGCACTTTTCCAAAAAAATTTTTGAAAAAGTGTTTATTAGCTTATCTTTGTCTGTCCGTTCGTCTGTCCGTGTGTCTGTTTACAAAAATTCTACACTCTTGAAGATAGGAAGCTGAAATGTTATATGTACATAGAATTTACCTAGAAACTAATTTTTGTAGAACAAATTATTTACCTATCACCCCCCTTTAAAAGTTATTCCCACCCAAAACCCTAATTTTTTAAATTTTCCAAACGCAGAAATATATTAGCTGGCTTCCTCTATCGCGGCATACTTTAGTTGAGCTTTAAAAAAACAAAATGGCCACTAAAATTTACCGTTATCTGAAGTCAGTTTTTTTCAATTTTTTTTTTTAGTTTTTTTTAATCACTTTTGTGATTAAAAAACCGTACGTTGTTGGAGCCTGAAATGTTCACATCTGTTGGACACTAATAAATAGTTCATTTCGTTAATAGAAAATTTTTTTCCATCTTCACCGCCTCTCAAGTTATCGCCTCTCGAATTTTGCAAAATTTGAATATTTTGCACCTTAAGTTTGCGAAACCGCAACCTTTTTTAAATTTCGCAGAAATGTAACGGTAATAAACGCAGAAATGTAATGGTAAACACCATGCCATAAAAAATATAATTATTTTTTTTAACTCACACAATTAACCCTTAAAATCGAACATTATGTTAACCCCTCTTTAAATTAATTTTTGCTTTATTTCAAAAACTGCATAAACTGTTCATCCTAAATACGAGTATATTCAATTCAATTCAATTCAATTTATTCATCCAATCTCAAAATGAGCTTTAAGCTCGTCTTTACTCTTTAGTATAATTACAAAAAATTCTTATAATTAACTGTCAAATATCAGTACAAAATTTTATCTTTCAAATAGTGCAGTAATTAATTCATAATAATAACAAAATGAGTAAAATTTGGTTTAACTAACAATATTGTATATGATAATTTATTTTGATTAAACATTTTGACGACTAATGATTCTTATAAAACTCTTATATTTTATTTAGATAGTATGTGTTAATATGTTGTTTAAATCTATTTATTAGCGTATGACTTTTGAATTCAGCAGGTAGATTGTTATATATTTTATATGCTAAATTGTATGCTGTGTCCAAATTATTAAATCTGACATTAGATGATATAATTCTGATGTTACCAGCTGTTCTTGTGAAGTGTGAATGCACTTCTAGAATGCACACTTGTGTGTGCAATCCTAGAAATAGTTTCGTATATGAATGAAAATAATATATTAATAGTGTGGTAGGTATACATTGTTTGTTTTGCAAAGCAGTATTTTCACTTGTTGAAGGGAAACTTGCTACAATACAAACCATTGGTTTGACCCAACTTTATTAAAAGAAGTATTTTTCACTTGTTGAAGGGAAAAGTGCTACAATACAAACCATCGGTTTGACTCAACTTTATTTGATATTAATAGTATTACGCGCTTAAATTGAAAGCTTATGAATTTAACAAAGCCACATTTGTAACAAAATTTGTGTGTTTTCTACAAAATATTGACTTTGTAAATAAAAGTATTCACAACTTTTTCTTGACTGATAATGGCTATCTCATAATTAGAAATTTAATTGAAGATATCAATTTCCTTGATATCTTAACAATATTTTTTTTATCTATTTTTGTCAGTTATTTACAATTTTTATCAAAAGCTTTAAAAAAGTTACTTTAAATATTCGTATAAAGAAACAATCATTAATTAAATCTCAGTTCCATCTAGGTAGTGCTTTAAAAATACAATTCGATTGTTAAATAATTTACGGGAATATTTCAAATCAAAATTTTCTACAAAGTTTATACAATTTTAATTTTGCTTTAAAACAATTTCAATATCTCTTAAATTAAACATATAAATAATGGCTTAAAAGTCACGCTAATCAAAAAAGAAAAAAAAAAAGAAAAAAAAGCAATATAAAATAATTAATTTAAACTCAAAAAATATCACAATAATGGAAAAACAAATATTAGTGAAAAATATATTCAATTACACCATTTTTTATTAGCATTGCTTTAAATTGCAATCAACACTTTGATAATTATTGTTTCATATACCAAAAATATTGAAAAGAAAAACCACTATTACTTAAAAAAAAAAAAGTTTTTATAATTCGAAAACTTTTATATCGCTTAAATAAAAAAACAATTAAACAAAGAAAAAAAACAAACAAAATGATATTGGCCACTTGTATAGAATCATCCAAAATTAAATCAAAAACTAAATCAAATACAACAATAGATACCAGAATGACTGCAATAACATTTGGTGTTACTTTACCATCGCTATCACCATTGCAATTCTACTATTATCAAAAATTGTTATTATTTTCATTTAGACCACCACCACCAAAACTAAAAGCAATTAAATGGTCAAATAAAAAGTTTCTCTTAGATAAAGTTTTCAAATTTAATTTTAAGCGTGCCATATATCTAATGACCACGATTCAAACTGGTGGTTTGTCCACTATTACAACTACTACTATAACAATGAAAACGTATATAATTTATGGCATATGCAATAATTGTAACATTAATAATAATAGCATCGACACTTGTGATTTTATTTGTATTAGTAATTGTAGATGCGATAGTGACTACTATACCAGCACAAATTATATTATGAACAATAGGAATAAAAATATTACTGTTGACAATAGTTATAATAAATTTGAAAGTTTATATTTGTGTCCTTGTTATTTTTATAGCTATCATCATTATCATTTTAATACTTTTTATATAAAATATAAAAAGGATTTTATAATTTTTAAAAGATATCATATAAAAAATCCTTTGAATTTAATTTTTTTAAATGATTGTTCAAAAAATTTCAAAATAATATTTGATCAGCATCTATTAATGAAATTAAGTGAAGGTATGCTATATAAAGAATATGTGTATTTATCTTGTTGTAATAAATTTATATAATTATTAAAATTAACACCCGCGTACTTCTTGTGGGTAAAATGTTTGTATTGATTCATAAATTATTTAAATATAAATATCTACATGAATATATGTTCATATGCACAAATGTATTATTATACCCTATACATTATATCGGAGAGTAAAAACAATTTGACCCGATACATACGTTTATTCATTACACCAAGAAACCATTTACGACCTTAGTCGATCTAGCTATGTCCGTCCGTTCATTTAATGGAGAATTCATTTAAGAACGGAAAAAGTCGCAAGCTTGAAATTTGCCACATATGTATGTATATTTTTGCTTCACGCAAATTGGTGTTGAAAAAAATTAATGAGTAAAACTGTCCCATATAACATAAAAGTTCCCGCCTCAGCAGGGGTTTTAAAAAAATTTTGTACCAAGAATGGTCATGCGACATATCGCTGAAAAGATCATTGAAATCTTTACAATTTTTGATTGACAACTTTTTAAACATCGGTGTTCTAAGCTTCCAGATTCCAAGGAAGGTTTTTTGAAAAATTATTCTGATATAGTCTAAAGAAAAGTGTTAGTTTAAAACAGTCTGGCATTCAATTTTGCAGCGAACAAAATTAACTTTTTTATTTCTATTATTTCTTGCTGAGCTTGAATTGTCTATTGAAAATTTTATTTGACAAACAAATTTTTTATATACATAATTCAATGTGTTTTATTTCATAAAGTGATTTATACATTTACATTTTTCTTTCGTTCTAGGTCAAATGCTAGTTAAATGGATAACAAATTCTTTAATTTCAACGGGGTGTAATTTAAGTGAACAAACTTTAAATATTTTAACTCAACAATATTGTGCTAATCTATTATCAATTGGAGTGATTAAACCAATTTGTGAAAAGACTGATAAAAATGACACATTTTATGTAAGTAACTAGAATAAAAAAAATAATAATTTCATATTCTAAAAAAAAGTAAAAGTTAATACAACCAATAAGTAATATCCACGTCTTAATATTCAATTATTGGACTTAGACTTTAACTTTGCTTAAATCTTACCATTACTTAAAAAAACCAAACACTATACAAACGAACGTGGAAAATATCTTTTTCTATAGAAGATTTTTCTATAGACCATTTTTCTACAGAAGAAATTTAAAAAAGTTTTTCTTCAAATTCAAACTAAAAAATCCAAATTCTTACAATAATATTGAAATTGATAAGAAAAAAATCTCAAATAGAATCGAAATATTTAATATTTTCGAAATCGAATTATTTTTAAAACTTCTTTTTATTGTTATAGTTATAACACACACATTGTTTCCGTATATCTTTCGTTCTAAATTTGAAAAGAATAAGAAAGGAAATGGAAATTTTTTTTCGATCACAAAATCTTATGTTCATTAAATTGAATTTAACTTTTGTAATGGTACATAAACATAAACATATATATAATGAGTACATATAAAAAAACATTTATGTATTGTGTATGAATATATTTAAAAAAAAACTAAAATGTAACTGAATCCTTTTAACTTTAAATGAAGAGCACAAGACAAAAATAACAACAGGTTGAGAATAAAAACATTTTTATATCAGTAAAAACTATTTAAAAACTCAATGGTCACATATAGTAAAATAATAACAACGGCTTAAGTTAGGTATATAGAAACGAGAAAATAATGAACTCTAGCACAAAAAATAAATTTTACAATTTTTTCTTCAGTTAATGGTTACCTAAACTTTTTACTTTTTTTCTTTGCCCTTTTTTAGTGCTATATTTAACTAAAAACGTAAAATTATTCCATTTATCGAATAAAAATTTTATTTGAGGTAAAAAGAATTATATTAAAATTTCCAAATAGAAATCTAGTGTATAGCTTACAGGATGTTCTATAATAAAAAGTAAAAAACAAACAAAATAGATTTTTAAAATACAAACTAAAATTATTTCACATTTTATTCAAATCCAAAATATTATAGAGTTCAAAAGTTTGATCACAATTCAATTTAAAAAATATGGCGATAAACCGTTTTTGGCTTTCAAATATTTGTAAGTTTTCATGAATTTCTGATTGACTAGAAATTATGGGCTGAACGTCTATTTATCTACTTTACTCGGAAGTTGGGAAGAAAGTGAGTAACCATTTATGTACTTCTAATTTTTAATCGAAAAGAATTATTTAATAATTATTTAATTAATTAGTTACGCAAGTAACTGGTTTTTTTATTTCATTAATTTTATTCACTTTGTTTCTGAAAATGAAACCTTCTGTCGATAATTTGAAAAAATGAGTAATTTTATTGGAAAAGTTAAATACCCATTAGAAAATACAGAGAATTCAGATTTGAAAGTGAATAAAAAGTGAGTAAAATAAAGTTAGGTGAAACCAATGGTTTGTATTGTAACATTTTCCCTTCAACAAATGAAAATATTACTTCTAAATAAAGTCTATGTAAACCTACCACACTTTCAATTACGAAACTATTTCAAAAAATTACTTTCAAATACGAAACTATTTCAAAAATTACATACATTTAGGATTATCGGTCTTTGAAATAAAGCAAAAAAAAAATTTAAAGAGACGTTAACATAATTCTAGATTTTAAGGGTTAATTGTGTGAGTTAAGAAAAATAATTATATTTTTTAATGCCATGGAATTTACCTTTAGCTTTTTGCATTTATAGAAATTTGCAAAAGCTTGCGGTTTCGGAAATATAAGAATTCAAAAATTCAAATTTTACAAATTTCAAGGGGCGATTACTTGAGATGGGGTGAAGATGGAGAAAAATTTTCTTCTAACGAAATGAACTATTTATTAGTATCTAAAAGCTGCTAAGGTTTCAGGCTCCTACAACCTAAGGTCTAGAAGGAAACTGATATCAAAAGTTTCGAAGAAATTGATTGCAAATAACGGGTAAATTTTGATGGCTGTTTCGTTTTATCAAAGTTCAAGTATTGTATAGATTGATAGATAATTGTATCCGCGACAGAAAAAGCAACCCACTGCTTTTCTGTGGTTTTCCAAATTTGATAGTTTCATATCGATAAGTAGTTAAAAAATGGTATTTTTAAGGTTTTGGGGTGGTGTAACTTTTAGATGGGGGTAGATAGGTAAAAATTTTCTTCTACGGAAGTAAGTTTCTAGTAAAGATTTATGTACATATAAAATTGAAGCTTTCTATCTTCAAGGGTGTAGAAGTTTTGTAAACAGATGGGTGAAGAAGTTTTGGAAATACCAAAAATTTACCTATGTTTGGTCGAACTTGATATATTCTATAGTTATAAGAAAGAAAACTTTAAAGTTAATTCAGCTGTTAACTATAAACATTTTGTTGCATTATTTTAACAACAACAATTTTTTTGTTGAAATTATTTCCTTCTTAAATTCTTGCAGCACTCGTTCTCACCTTGTACGTAATAAATATATGTAGGTACAGCAAATAATTTTGTAGTCCCACATTTAAACCTTTTTTTTTTATCCTCTAAACACGTACACTATTTGATTCTAGAATTTTGTATTTTAACTTTTTTATTGCATACATTGAGTATTACGGGGCCGTAAGGTTTATTATATTGAAACATTTTTAAAATCATTTTCCTTGCCATTAATGGAATGTTTGCCATTGCTATTTAAATGTGTTTACAGTTTTCATTCTTTGATTTTCTTTTCCATTTTCAAATATGTTGGCTCTTAGTTATATTCCAAATTTAAAATAAAATATAATTTAAGAAAGTTTTTTCTTCATTCCAATAGAGCCTTTTTAGTTCCTCTTCAGCTTGTTTCCTTTATTATGTTGACCTCTTAAACTTTACTGTATTAAAATGAAATAAATAAATTCAGCTGCCAATAGGGCAGGTGTTAACAATATTGTTACATTTTTTTTTACTTTCAAATCTATATTGTGTTTTTGCTTTTATATTTATGTAAGTGCGAAATGTGCGAAAATATTGTTTTCTTAAAATTTATTTTTTTAAATTGATTTGACATTGAATTTCACAGTGTACAATGTGATTGTTTCTCTTTTCAATTCGCCTTAAATACAAAATTAATTTATTTTGGATGAAAATTAAAAATTGTTCTTTTTGAAAAAAAATCCCAAAGTACTAGTGTTATTAGTGAGGTAGAAAAAAAAATCATTTTTTTCTTGGGAGGCTAAAAGTTTTCATTTGTTAAAAATTTCTGCCGAAATGAAATATTTTTAGTTTTGCTTGATGGCATATAAATTACTCTTGCTTGATGGCATATAAAAACAATAAAATTGATTTGGTTAATTCTTTTACAATATACAAAGCCGCGCAAATAATGAATAGAGCAAATAATTTAATACTAGCGTGATGGATTTTTGAATTTACATTAGTTTTTTTCATTTACGTAAAGCGTAATTTGAAGTATTCCTAAGTTTTTGATTATTATTAAGTTACTGAATTTCTATTCAATCCTTTATAGTTAAACTTTAAATTAGAGAAGAGCAGAACTAACAATAAAAAAATTTTTATAATGAATACTACACAATAATTAATTAAAAATAATAAAATATAAATACATAAAGAAAAAATATTAAAATTTCATTGATCTCAAAATAATTTTAAATCAAATTTATACAAGATTTATTATAGAAAAACTTTTCAACAAAAAAGAAAATCAAACACAATTGTTATCAAAAAAATTCTTATTTCACTTTCTTAATTGGATGGATTGGATGATTCATTGCACTTAAATCTGGTGGATTTTTTTCGAAAAATGCAATTTCTTTCATACCACCTTCAGCAATTTCCCAAAGTTGTGGATTTTCTGCTTTAAATGTAGCATACCATTTTTTTATTAATGGATATTCATCAAGTTTAAAATCAATTGCTTCTAAACAGATTGTAGCGGTAACAAGAGGGAAATCTGCAATTGTTAAATTGTTTCCAGCGGCATATTTAGTACCCAAACTTTTTAAATAGGTTTCAAATACCTAAAAAGTATTAATATTTACAATTTGATCTTAAAATTTTCTAAAATTTTGAAATAATAATTAATAACATAGATACCTGCAAAGCAATATGAACTTTTTTTAAACCAAGTTCAGTTCTTTGATAATCAAAGAAAATTGGTGCCATAACATATTGTCCAATACTGCTATAATAAAATGCCATATTAAAATTTAGTCTCTGATTAACTATTGCTCTTTCTTTTGGGTTTTTTGGATATAGAGAACTTTCTGGTCCATATTTATCGCATAAATACTAAAACATAAACTTTTAGAAACTTTTGTTTAACAAGTTTTTTAAATAAAACATTATTTTACTTGCATAATAGCAACACTTTCTGATAAATAAAATCCATCATCGTCCAATACAGGGATTTCTTTTTGTGGATTCATCTAAAAAATGCAATTAGTTTTCAATAGAGTTGAGATTTTGTACAAAGAATTACATTACCTTCGCATATTCCTCTGACAAATGTTCACTATTTACGTAATCCACATTATGAAGTTCGTAAGGAATATCCAAAGCTTTTAATGTCATTCGAACAGCTAAGGATGGTGGTCCATCTGAGACAGAGTAAAGTTTCATTTTGTATGTCTAAAAATAAAATATATGTTGACTAATTTGTAAAAAAACGTTTTATATTCCAACAATAATAAACTAAAAGAAACAAAAATAGCGTAGATTAATTTGAACCACTGATTAAAGATCAAAAATTTGAATTTCGAATGTTTTTTGTATTTTTGGAATTTAAGTCGCAATATTTTTTATAGTTTTATAATTACTAATTATAATTGCAAATTTAATTAAACTTTTTTCAAATACCAATGCAAATCTTAAATAAATTTGCGTAAAACTACAAAATAATTTTAATTTTACTTTAAAAATTAAGTGAAAAATATTACCATTAGTCAATCATTTTATTTTTATTTTTTGTGGTAAGTTGAAAGTTTTTTTTAATTTTCAAATGTTAAATTTAAAGATTTGTGTTTCATTGAAATCATAAAAATTTTAACTTATTGTTTCAATTCAGTTTCTCTAACTAACAAAAATTTCTCATGAGAACTCTACGTACAGATTTTTGAGTTAATTCGTTTTAAAAAACCGTCAGTTCTTCCCAAATGTTAAATAAAGTTTTTCTAGCATTTTCTTAAATTTCCTCACTTGCATTATCATTTTTGATAGAGGTTTCATATCCATAAATACTTTAAAAAATCTTCTTTAAAAATATTCCTAACAAAACAATTACATAGTTGATTAAAAGTGTCAGAAGAATTAAGAGAATAAAGTTTCTGCATCTTATTCTACTTTATAAAAACTTAATAATCTAATACAGCATTAAATTTATTAAAATTAAAGTTCGCTTTCTATTGAATTCATTAATATATGTACCGGTATTTCAAATCACACGCATACAAATAGCTATTAGCTATGTCAAACTTGTTTAATAGCAACACAATAATCGTATACGCCAAGAGAAAAATTAATATATGCACATATTTCTAAACATGTTTCTGAATAATAAAATTTATAAAAACTGCTTGTAATTCAGACATTTTCCCAGCATAATGTAAAAAACAGCGAGCGTTATTTTGTTTGTAGTTATTTAAATCTATAAAAATAAATACACATACATTATGAAATATGTAAAAAAATTAGAAACTTCAAAAGAATAAGGCTATCAAAATCACTTAAATTACATTTTATCAAACTTTTATTTAATTATTATTCAAATTGATACCTATTTTAAGATAAGAATTAATTATAAATTCATTTCTTTTATATTATAAATAAATTTACTAAATCACTGAAACTTACATTAAATGAAGTATTCAAAAAGAACAAAAAAAGTTTGAAAAAAAAAAGAAAAATTATTTTTTAAATGCGATCACCAATAACTTGATTATTTGAGCGCTGAATAGCAACTAAATAAATGAAAAGTAAAGAATTGAGAATTCAGACAAAATATTTTATATAAATAAAATAAAAATTGGTGCGATCAACTTCCGACGATCGTTCAAGTATGCTTGTGTTTGTAACAATTTTTTCACATTTCGTTTCACTCTCTTACTCATAAAAATGTAAAAATTTCCGAACTCCTACACTATACCCATTCTACCTCTAACCGAGTAATTCTGCTTATTGTAAAGTTGCTTCCTAAATATTTGTGTCAACAAAATATTTAATCTTTTAGTCGTAATTTTAATATTCCAATTATTTTTAATTCAATTCAATAAAAAAAAATTGCTGAATAAAAATGAATTTATAATTTTTTGAACCTTTAAAAATTTCAATAATTCTTATAATAAATACAAATATCTTATAAAATAAATGTTGATATATGGCTTTTATAAAGTTTTGATATGTTCTGTGATTATTGATTATGGGCAATATGGGCTACTCCAGTTAGTTATATTACCTATACTTACAAGAAAAAGAACATTTTCAACTGATTTTATTGCTTGTTGTGTTTTGACAAATAATAAATTTGTATGGTATTTTATATACCTATATCTAATATCTATGATTAAGTTCTTAATATTTTTTTAAAAAATTTTTTTCAAATTTCAATAGTCCCAATCGAAAATTTTTTTTTTGCAACCAAAATGATCAAAATAATGGGCGGCATTCTAAAGTTGAATGGGCCGTATGCTGCCCATGGTCCGCATTTTGCCGACGGTTGTGCTATGTTATGCTAAATTGATAAGATAACATTAACATTAATTGATAACATTATGATACTTAAGCAAGGCTGTTGAAAAAAGATTAAATTTATTTTTTATATAACTAATTTTTTAGTTAAAAATTCACTTTGTAGAAGAAATAAAAGTTTTCGTCCCTCCCGCTATTCATTTTTGTTTTTCGACATTTTTTTATCCGCTTAGACAAAAAAATTGAAGAAAATGTCGATCATGTTTGTGGTGTATCCGATATTTTTTACTCTAACATAACAAATTATAACATTTATTCAATTATTTTTTAAAATTTCCCATTTGTTCAACCAAAATTTTCAATTATAATAATATTATTCTTATAACATTAATATATGCATCCATATACGTATTTAACCAGTAACTTAAAAATATCACTCTATTTTATAAAAGTTAATATCGTGAAAAAATGAACTGAAGTTATATAATGGATTCGTCATTCGTAATAAAATTTAAACCTTAATATTTATAATGGCTTTTATTACGGTAATTAAATTCCACATGATTTAAAAACATCCAAAGTAGCCGGCTTATGACATAACCTAAAGTTTTGTAATTGTATTAACAAAAATACACACAAATATCGTTTTTTCAAACACTAATTGTATTCAGCTATCAAAACTATTTGGAGAAATTGTTCTCTATAAATACAAACACATATAAATCAAAATTATTTGGTTATAATTCGATATTCTTTATTGCAAAATATCTTGATATTTTAAAAATGATTTAAAATTTTTAATGCATATCTCTTGTACTCTTATAAATATATAATCTTAGATTCATTAAAAAGTCATAGAAAATCTTAATGCTAAGAATTAAGTATTATTTAATATTTTTAACTAATTTTACCAAATTTCCAATTTGTGCACATCACAGTCATCCTCAAAGATATATGTTTTCTGTAATTTCCAGTTAACGCTAAAATCTACCAGTTTACAAATATCTGTTTAGAAATGCGTTCTGTTACTAAAATTATTTATTATACTTGTATACTTATTAAAGCATTAAAAACTATAATTATTTACAAATACATAATTCAAATTAGCTAAATCTCACAAATAAAAACAAAAGCCATTGTTGATCGTTTGTTCAATAATATTGAAAAAAGATATCATTTTCAGTTCAGATAAATTTTTACGCTAAATTGCAATCAAAAGCACCACAATTTCTTTTGTTTGCATATTTGAGATCTCTATACACGTTAAAATGAGCTCTTAATATTTATAATATTACAATAATTTTCTTCGTTCTGCGATGTGAGGCAAATTTAATTATGACTACAAAAACTATTTCAGTTATTGTATCCATTATTGACAAAATATTAAAAAAAATTATAGGTAAAAAAGAAAATAATAACAAAGATAAAGCATAATTTCATAAATAACAAACCTTATTCTATTTCAAAAATCAATTCTTTAGTTTAATTTCCATTTATTCTAAAGGAAACCTTAAAAATCGTTGACTGTTTTTTACTATAAAATTCAATGGTATAAATTTGTTTTGTATGGATTAAGAAAATTTTTGATCGTTGCCAAAGTTCTATTAATTAATATTGATTTAAACAAACAGAATTTAATATAAGCCTTAGTCTGCAACTGCCGGAAACAAAAGTGAAAGTAGACGTAACATGAATTTTACTTGAAAAGATTTTGAATTTATAGTACATAATTTGAACGAGGCACAAGTATAATTGAGAACAAAAGCAAATTTGCTTCAAATACGTTCTTGAACAAAAACTTCAGGTTTTCGCAACACCGTTGTAACGATATGCCCTAGCATATTCCCTTTATATTTTTTGAGAGATATGAAAACTCAGAAGATCTATTTCTTTATGCAATTACAGTTGAGGATCAGTAATTTTGACCAAAAAGATGGTCGAAGAATAATTCGAATTTTTATTGTTATAAGCTTTATATGTAATTATCTAAGTAACAATAACAGCGTGCAGTCATTTATTTATTTTTTAAAACATCTTATTGAAGTAAAAGTTAGCAAAGGAAATAGTGAAAGTTTTTCCTCAAACGTAAAAAATGTCAAAATCAGAAATTATTTATCTATAGTAATTTCAAAGCTCTCATTTGCATCATGCTGTTAAATTTTTACTTTCGCTAACGACAAATTCTTCAGCTCGATCAAAATTCTTTATGTCGGGTTAAAAGCATTAAAATTTGATTAAATAAATTTTATTTAATTCATGATACTTTTCCCCAACAGTTCAGTTCGTGTTATCTGTTATCGTAATTCTTTGTTTAATATCATTTTAGAACAACAATTTTTTAGTAAGAAAATTAAAACAGTCAACTTCAAATATGACTGTATTAAAACTTTAGTGACATTGTATTGAAACTTAACAAAGCATATGTCTAAAATTTTCTTAAATTTATCTTATAAGACAAGATGTTAAATTTAATAACATAATGAGAAAAAATAGAGTTGACCTTGTCAACTCTATGATACACGTACGAATTTGTACGTGCGAATATGTGTCATAGCTGACTATGGGATAGAGTATGACTTTAAGTTGCCATATTACCATATTCATTTATGTAAAATTTCAGTACTGTGTTTTCAATATTTTCCAAGATATAGCCAAACTACGATTGATGTTGTATGGCAGCTACCAGAAAGAGCCAAGCAATTTCAACGAATTTTATCAAACACATTGCCCCTACTAATAAATTCGCTTATGTGAAATTTTAAAATAACGGCTATAGTAGTTTCTGAGATATAGTCAAATAAATTTTGAAGTTGTATGGCAGCTGCCCGAACCAGCATCCCGATCATATCCAATTTAAATAGGGTTCTGGTATTTACTATAATAAGTCATTTTTGGAAATTAAGTGAACTTAGCGCAATTAGTTTTTATTAGTTATCGTTAAACAGAACCATTCAAGTGTATGTCTCGTCTCAGGCCTTTATTTCTTAGCGTTACAAACGGTAAGGCAAATTTAGTATGCCCTTTGAATATACGTTCGTACGGGTATAAAAATCCTATACTTACGTACATGGTCAGTCATATTGTTTGTTTTCGTTTTACCTTGGACTCATATATACTTCATGTTATTAAATTAAACTCAAATTTATTCTAAACTTTAATCTCAGCTTAATTATTCAAAATTTAAATTTACAACAAAACAAAAGCATCATTCACTTTAGAGAATTTGAAAGTTTTAATTTGAAAAAAAAAGATCAAAAACAAATTGAATATCAAAAATTACAAACTAAATAAAAACACAAAAGTTCAATTTAAAAAGGACTCATAATATTTTCTTCCTAATTGCTTCTAAAGTTCCTTAAAATAAAAAAGTGAAACTAAAAAATTATTTTAATTGGTTTTTTTCCTTAGTAACCTAAAAACAATTTTTAAAAGTGCACATTCGCACTCACACATGCATTCATTTGTAATAATGTACATTTCAATAAAATTTATTTATGAACTTAAATTTACCCCTAAAGGTCATTGGACTCAATATTTTTATCATGAAATGAGCATTAATTGTCTATCAAAACCAGAAATCTTTACCAAAAACAATATGAGTACTTATTAAAACAATATTGAAAAGAAAGAAAATGACATTTCCTCTTTACAAAAACAAAAAAACAAAAGAAAACCAAAATTTTTAAAAAGTGATTTAAGAATCTTCTCCAGTAATAACTTTATAACTAATTTATTTCATATATGCAATATATATAGATACCGTAATTATAACATGACCATTTTCAATATAAAATTAGAACGAACGCATTTTGCATCCCAAATGCAACAATTGCTTAAATCGAATTTGCTTAAAATAAATTACAAATTGAAGTTTCCGATGTTTTAATGCACTTAGATTTAGTGAATATTAGGGTAATATGTAATTCCATTAGTTTCGAAGCAATAATTAAAATTGCAAAATTTGTTTTCTTTCTTTTTGAAGTCAAACTGTTAGCAGTTTTCTAAAAAAAATTAAAAAAAATTCTTAATAAAACTTCTACACCTTTTGAGATGGATAGTTGATTTTACATAAATAGATTTTTTTGCTAGAAACTTATTTTTCCAAAAACAAAATTTTCACTTACATCCGCCCCTAGATTTGAGGCTCCTCAAAGTTCTAAAAATACCATTTTTTATCTATTTATTGTATCGAAATCACAAATACTTTTAACATTTAGGAGCAGCAAAAAAGTAGTGATTGGCTTCTTCTGCCAACATACAGCATAACCAAATATTAAAATGCCAAAATGGTTACTGAAGGTAACCGTTACCTAATACCCAATTTTTTTCAAATTTTTATTATAGTTTTTCTTATAGACGGTAAGTTGGAGGAATTTGAAATTTTAGCAGCTTTAAGAAAATAATAAACATATTATTTCACAGGAAGAAAATTTTTTCCAATTTTTTTTTGGGAGAGGGGGGGGGGGAGTGGATGGATCCCAGATAATGTCCTCTCAAAATTCGAAATTGCAAATTTTTTCGAAATTTTTAAAAAATCAAAGGGCTAACGGGAAATGCCATGCCATCAAAAAGTATAACTATTTTTCTTTAAATCATTAACTTAACTTAGTTATCTTAACGCTTCTTTTTCTTTTGCTCATCCCAAATGTATGCAATTTTTTGATACATTTGGGAATGAATGACAGTAATTTCAATATATGTAGATAAAATTATTATGGTAGATTGTCTTTTAAAGCAGTATTTTGAATTGTACTTTACAAACAATCGGTTTTAATCAACTTTATTAGAAGAAGATTTAAGTTCGACGTCTTTATAGTTGTACATATTATGCTTAAATTAATTAAATATATTTGTGTATTAGATAATTTTTGCTTTAACAACACAAAATTTAACTATCCCAATATTTTTCATTTTAATAGTCTACTTTTTACGGTACAAAATATTAATAAAGTATTTAAAAATGGCATACAGAAGAATAGTAAAATATAAAATAAGTAAAAAAACAATTTTTTTTTAAGTAACAAACGAGTAAAAAGAGAAAATAAAATTAATATATGAAAACATCTATTCAACCAAAGGTATCAATTTTACTTTCAAATCGTTCACATCTAATGAGAAATTCATAAGGGTTAGCAATATAGTTACGAAAAAAAACATACGTATAAGCAAGTAAGGTGAGTTTTTAATAAGAATTAACCTGAAGCTGTAGCTGAACCTTTTTTTTTTAAATTTACAAGAAATAAAAGTTTTCCTATAAAAACAAAACACAAAAAAAATAATTTTGAGAACAAAAATAAAACTTTTTCAATTTAAAATCTTTAGACAATTTTTTTTACTCTCTTATTTTTTTTTTGTTGGCTCCTTATCGTGTCCTGATGGAAAGTGAATTTTTATACCTACATAATACGGAAACACAAACATAAGTACGTTTACACACATATACATAATATGTGCATAAGACAGAATATCTTATTACGTAAATAAAACCGAAAATTAAATGAAAACATTCTCAACAAACCAATAAAGAAAAATAAAAAAATTAAAAAAACTTTTGAAAAATTTTTAAGGAAAAAAAAATATTTTTTTATGTGCTTTTTTTTTCATTGATACTGTGAAAATCGATACTCCTCAAAATATACTTGAATTGTGAAAATAAACGTATCTTAGGGGATTAGTTAACTAACTATTTTTGAAAAAAAGGGTAATAAATATTCAGGAAAAAAATTGAAGAGAAAAAGTGAGGTGAAATTCTATCAAAATTATTTACAAATTTTTCATTTGGGATTAATAAAAATTCTGTAAATCAAATAGAAATTGATTGATCGACATCGAGAAATCAAAATTAGAAAGAATTTCAAAAATATGATCAGAAACACACATTTTCTTTTTAAATTTTAATATCGTATGTAACGTATGTATGTATACATTGTACATATTATGCACTTTTAAATATAATTTGTTTGTACAGGTGTACTCTTCAAATTTAAAATTTTTTGTAATAAATTAAAATTTTAGTCCAGAGAACTCTACAAGAAAAATAATTTTTCCAAGAGTTTTATAAAACAAACTTTGAGTTACTATTTTGTAAGAATTTTAACATTTTAATAACCGAAAAAATTATTGAAAAGTTTAGATATCTAGTAAATTTTTACTTTATAAAAAAGTTATTGTTGCACTGCAATGAATTATTGAAAAAATTAAATATTCTCTAAAATAGTTTGATTCATAATCTTAATAAAATAGATCATTGGTACTAAGCATTTGTAGATAAACTCCTAAATTTTTCTTTTTCTATAACACTAAATAAAGCACAATAATATTACATATAATTACAATTCCAAATGCAGTTTTTTGCCATTAGCCATTACATAATGTAAAAGCAAATTGAAAAAGCTTAAAAATTTTAAAATCAATACAAATATTACATATATTGTTAGTATAATTTGTTGCATAATATTGTATTGCACATAACTTTTATGAAATATCGTGCTACGTATGCAAACACAATGTAAATATGTATTTATGTACGTGCAAATGTAAATATTATTCCCTGACTAATCCATTTTGAACCTATTTTCTTATTTTATAAGAAAATTTTAATTTTCATTTTATTTTTCAAAATTGTTGCAATATTTTTTATAAAATAACATTTCATTATTTTATATACAAAATATTAAGTCTAAAAATATATTATATATTTATGTTTTTTAAAAATTTTCGTCCGGGCTGTTGGGCCATAATTGCTTATGAAATAAAATTTTAATATTAATTTGTTAAGAAACAAAAGCAAAAAAATTTTAAGGAAATTTTTTCAGAACAATAAGGAAATTAAGAAGGTTTATCTGATATTGCATTTCCGCTTGAAGTCCCGTAGATATGTCATTTTTAAATATAGGACACTATCTGCAAAAGAACTTTTATTTTGAATTACATTCTATTATGCCAGAAATTATAACTTAATAAATATGAATAACTACAATTAACCAATGCACAAAATAAAAATTATATTACTAAATAGAAAACAAACATTAGGATGTTTTTTGAATTTATTTTTTTTTATTTTTTTGTTTTATAAAGCCATATCAAATGTATCAATGGACTCATAGAGAAACTATACCAGCATCAAACCCTGTTACACCAGGACGATTAGATGCAGAAATAATATGGCCTCACTCAACAACACCAACGTCATCATTAAAAATCAATCCAAGATCTGTTCAAGTAGATATATCAGGAACTAGTGATATTACACAACTGAATAATTACAATAACAATGGAAATTGTAATAACAATAACAATATTGATAATAGTAATAATAATTTAAATAATAATAATAATAATTGTAATAACAATGGTAACGTTAATAATAATCAAAGCAATCTTAATAACAATAATATTATTTCAAAAGATATTAGAATTTTATCAAATGGTCCCAATAACGCCAATAATGTTAGTACAAATTTAAATAATTTTGATAATAAAATAATAGTATGTGGTGACCGAAAGGTTTTTGAATTAAAAAAGTCTCTATTAAATTGTAATACGTTGAGTGAAGTATACGAAGTTGTTGAAACATTATTACCAGACCGAAAACCATCAAGCAGTATTATTGTTAGCTATCAATCACCAACTAAATCACCATCAGCGTTATTAAATGAAAGTGAAGTAACAATATATGACGCGAAAAATTTAAATGATACCGATAGTCCAAAAACTGATGAAGAAAAACCTAGTACGTGTATCAATTCATCAACAAAAGAAAATTTACTTGAAACCACTGTAGATAATAATGTACTATTGTGTTGTAAATGTGGTGAAAACATAACGGAAATAACTACAGAATCAGAAGAATTGAAAGATAATGCAATACAAGTTATTAATAGTGTACCGCTTAAAATTGATCAAATTCTACAAACAAGTTTCGAAGAGCATTTTACACCGGTAAGACAACCAATTGCAAATAAAGAAATTAATGAGGAGGAATTAATTGATTCCACACCAAATAATATTGAGGTGTTTGAAGCGATAAATGATGATCTTAAAACTTCAACACCAACTGAAGAGGAAATTAATACTGCAGAACCGGAGCCAAAAATTTCTCCAGTTAAATGTACATTACCCCCGCCACCACCACCACCAGTACCACCACCAGCACCACCATTACCACCACTATCACTTCCATTGCCTAAAATACCACCGCCACCACCACCAGCATTACCTAATTTTAATAATCAGCGTTCAACAGCAAGTTCATCATCAGCTAACCATAATTTACCGAATGCATCTGTTGCTTTTAGATCTCCACAAAATTTACAAAAATCTATTTCAACTGGCTCATCAACTTCTCCACCGTCACCGGCACCATTTCCCATGCCACCGACAAGTGGAACTTGGTTTCAAGCGAATAATAGTAAGTTTATTATTATAATTATTTTTTTTACTTTACTTCTATACTGTATAATCTTCGAATTCCGTCTATAGTTTGGCATAGGGGTGAGATCAGAGTTACAAAATTTATAACTTTTATTTTTTCCATCATCTACCAATATCTTAACTTGTAGCATTCAAATAAATCCTCGGAGGTTGCATTCAATTAGCAGTAATTTTTCGTATCAATTGTGTGCACATAATTTTAAATTTTCTGAAATAAAAATTTTTTAAAGCTTGGAACATATTTATTTTGTTCTCTATAGCATTCTATTAGATTTATGTCATTTTGAAAATGTTTTAAAAATTATTTCCAAATTATACTTATGTACCTCTGAAATTTTTTAGGTTGCCGAAAATGTGTAAATTATTAATTTCATATTTTTAAGCATACTAATTATCCATTCGTAATTTTGACTACACCATTTATCTTTTCATCTATTTTTGAAATTTCAGCACTTCGCAAAAATGCTGTAAATCCACCGAAGCCCATGAAGCCATTGTATTGGACAAGAATTGTTACATCAAAACCATTTCTTGGTCAATCTTCAGAAGAGAAAACTGATTCTTCGCCCGAGGAAGAAATAAAAGAAGAAAAGCCTAAAGAATTATGGCAAGAAATTGATGAGACTAGTTTAGATAATTTTGTAATTGACGAATTCACCGATTTATTTTCACGTCAAGCAGTTGTACCACAGAATAAACCAACACGCGTTAAATCAAATTTAGCTAAAACAATAAAAATATTAGATAGTAAAAGATCGCAAAGTGTTGGAATATTCTACAGAAGCTTACATTTTGATTTAGAAGAAATTGAACATGCAATATATCATTGTGATACATCAGTTGTTAGCTTAGAAATACTTCATCATATAAGGGATATTAAAGCGACTCCTGAAGAATTGGCAATGATTAAAGAAGCTGCTAACGGTGATACACCGCTTGATGCCCCTGAGCAGTTTTTATTAAGGATTTCTCAAATATCATCATCAGCGGAAAGAATCTCATGTCTTGTTTTTCAAGCTGAATTTGATGAAGGTAAATATACTTTAATATGTTAATAATATTTTAACTAAATCTTATTTTCAAAAAGGTTCAACATTAGTTTCTCGAAAATTAGAAGTTGTAAAACGACTTTCAGAATTTTTAACTGATAGTGATGATTTAAAATTACTTTTTTCAATAATTTTAACACTTGGCAATTATATGAATGGTGGTAACAGAGCCCGTGGTCAAGCTGATGGATTTGGTTTAGAAATACTAGGAAAATTAAAAGATGTCAAATCAAAAGATTCTAAAATCACATTACTTCATTTTATTGTTAAAACTTATATCGGAAGAAAACGTAAAAGTGGTACACCTTTGATTGAAATTGGATTACCAATACCGGAACCAAGTGATGTTGAAAGAGCTGCTGCAGTTGATTTTGATGAAATAAAATTGCAGATAATGGATCTTCAGAAAAAATTAAGAAGTAGGCTCAAAAGTTTTTTATTGCTTACCTAAATATTTTTTTTGAAATTTATTTTTATTGTCCATTTGATTTGTTATCTATCCTTAATAGTATGCCAGAACACAACAGAAAAAGTGATTGCCTCTTCAAACGAAGAAAATATTCAACCTTTCAAAAAGAAAATGGAAGATTTTATTGAGATAGGTGATAAAAAAATTGAAAAGCAATTAAGCAAATTGGAGGAAAGCAGAGAAAGTTTCGTGAAAACGATGACATTTTATCATTTTATACCGAAATCGGGAGAATTGCAACAATGTACACCAGCTCAATTCTTTGAATATTGGACCAATTTTTCGAATGATTTCAAGGATATTTGGAAAAAAGAAATTACAATGCTAACGAATGAATTGTAAGTAGAGTATAACCTATGTGTCTATGTTTCAATAAATAAAACATTTAATTTTGAATATCAACTATTGTGTACTGTAATTTACTGTAATTTTTGCATAAAACTATCAAGCATAAGCTGTTACAATTAAGAGCTTACAGCTAAATAATGTACATACATATAAACTCAAAATCCATGTTATAATAATATATTATCATTCAGTCAATTAGTTTTTAATATCACATTACCAATTATATACTTTGATACATCTCAGTATTGCAAAGATTAGAAATTGTATAATTATTTAACAACTGTTGATTATTATAATTTTTAATTATTTGTATATTTAGTAAATAGAATTATGCAAATTAAATCATTAGTTCATTGATTGAGTTTGTTTATAAAAAAAGCATAATCTGAGTTTTACCAAAAATACTATTATCATTAACTTTTTTTAATATTTTTCTATTGAAATTCTAATTATTTTAATGTTTATATTATTAATATCCAATTATTTTTGAATTGATGGTTTCACATTAGTTTTTTGTTTCAATTTGAAAATTAGTTTTCTTTCCTAATTATTTTTATTTTGAAATTGAAAACACAAAAATAAAAAAATTATGCATACGAGTACATAGTTGTGCAGTGTAATAAGAGCATACTAAAATAATCATATTTTGTATTTAAATGTTTAGTTTAATAATTTTTGTTAATTCTTACAAATTTAATAAACTTAATTAAGGTTTGGTTATTTTATTCCCAATAAATTTTTATGTGGTGTGACTTTAAATTTAATACTAAACCTCGGTAGTCTTAATAGAATTAAGAGAATGACTGTCTTAATAAAATGGTTGGAGATGAAATACATAAAAAATAATAGAATGAAATGTATAAAATTTGAATTGAACCCATATATGCTTACTTGTCCTAAGTTTAATTCAAACAGTTATGCTCGATTCAACTAACACCCATCCAAAATCTTGAATACGAACACAATTAATAAAAATTTACATAAAAATATTGATATTACTTAATAATAACTTGAATTTTTAAAATGCATGAAAAGTATTAAGAGGACATCAATCGCATTTAACTCAAATTAAGCGTATTATAAATTGAAATTAAAATTATCAACACTTATAATAAATTATAGTATATTATTTAGGTTAAACTTGTATTAAAATAAGTGTATAATTTTAATTTACATAACTAAATAGTTTATCCAAGCTAATTTGCAACTGAAATTCGTCAATTATTGGTTTTGTTGTTTTCTCTTTTTATTATTTTAAAATAATTTCAAAATCTAATACCTATTTGGGGGGAGAATACTAATGCAACCACATAAGCTGTTGAATATTAATTACATATTATTGAAAATTGAATATTCCAGCTCATTATCCTTTATTAGTTTAACTTTATTGTTTGCTTTATAAAATAAGTCTATGAGAAAAATTTATGGTATAATAATTTTGATGTTTGTTCTTACTTAAAAGAGTGAAATCAGTTAATAAAAATATAGTCAATTATTATAAAACCAATAATTACGGAAAGTACATTAAAATAAAGGTAATTTACAATAAATAAATATCTGCAAATTGAAATGAAACCAAAATTTAACTATAGAAGACAAATATTTCGGACTTGTAATTTCTAAAAACTATAAAAAATTATTATCTAATTTTGTTTACGCTTTCACTTAGCTCCACTATCGTATCTGAGTTTCAACTAATCTTGTTAGTTTAATTTCATATTGTAGAAAATTTTCATTACTCATTAAAATTAACTTTACAATTCTATATAGGTAAAAGGATATTTAATTATACTAAATCAATAATAATATTTTGTTATTTTCATTTACTAATCCTTACAGACTAGATAAAGTAAAAGTTTATCAAATTATTTACAGAAGTTACAGCATGTGTATTCACTCACAAAAATAATTTAAGTTTCTTGTAACTGTTAACATAACATAAAAACAAAAACAACATACTCGTAACATTATACTTAATAATCGATAATTTATTATTATTAATGTTAGAAATAAAAACATATTTCAAAACCATTATAGTTTTTAATTTCAAATTTCTGTACCGGACTTTTTACTATGATCAAGTAATAGCCATCGTAGTACAAATATAAGGTAATAGTACAATTATAACTGCAGGATAACTTTAAATAGAAAATAAATTTTTCCGATATTTCAATTTTAATTGAAACACCCATCCAGTCATTTACATTTATTCGAAAGAAAATAATTACTCTAAAGTTATAAGGTCTTTCCATAAACCTAATGTAGGTATAGTGAATAGTTCATAAGTATTATAGCGAAATTATTAAGAGTCGTGCTCATAATTCCATAAATTGTTTGGATATTATAGAATAATTTAAAATATAATGCATATTCATCACTTTATGTTTTTGCAGCATTGCTTTTAAAAATTATTGTTTTGCAGTATATAGTTGCAGTTAAATAATTTAACTTTGTGCAATTTCTTAAAAATTTCAATAATTTTACGAAATTCATAATTTAATTTAAAAAAAGTCAAATTTTATTATCTATCTTATGCAAAATAAATTTTATGAATTATTCGGTACAAAAAATATTTCCCAGTGGTATGCGAGGCCATTAAGTTTAAATAAAAAAAATAATTTAATTATTAATAGCCTAGAAATTAGTTGCGTTTAATATTCAACTTAAAATGTATGCAATTTTTTAATTTTAAAACATAATTAAAATAATTGTACATTAAAATTAAAAGTTACCCGAATAGTAGCATATTTTAACTTCACATTTGATGGCGATGTGCTTGTCATACTTATTTCGAATTTTAAAATTACCATTCAAGTTTTAATTTTGTAAAAAACAAAAACATATGAAAATTATGTCTCAATATTCGAAAATTAATTAAATATATAGCCCAAATGTAAACAAAACTAAAATTCGCATTCAAAAATAATTTTTCGAAAAAAAAAAATTAAACAATTTAAAATCCACATCATTTTAAGACTGCCATAATATACAGAAGTAAAAGCTATTTTATTTGGAACACATGAATAGGGATTTATGAAACAAGGACTGGAATGAAGTATGCATGGCAGTATGAAAGAGTTTTTAAACTTATATGCTTTTTCACGTTTTATGACACAAGCTACCTATTACACTAATAAATTATTTAATAAATATAATTAATTTCGTTTATGATATTTATTTTGAGATTACTATTAAATTGCTATTAAATTAATTATCTTTATCATACTTTTATATTATATTAAAACAAAACCAATTTTAATTTTTTCAGAATAAAAAAAGTGAAATCACAGCAAAAGGTTCAAAATACCCAGAGCGCAACAAATTCTTCGAGACCTAAATTAAAACCAGGCGGCCTTAAGGATAGACTACAAAGGATGGCTAAAAAATGAAAACATTTATGTAGAATATTTCTTTTAATTTTCTTTTTTATTTTTTTATTGTAATTTTTAGTGTCTTTTTTTTAATGTTATATTTATATAAGTATATAAATTTCCTATATAAAAATAAAAAATATATACAGGCATTCAATCAAACATAATTATGTAATATTTGTATTTCGTTTTCGAAAAAAAAAACAATTCCTATACAATTTTGTTCCCTTTTTTGCATTAATTTAGATGTAATTATAAGATATTATAGAATTTGTAGCTATTTAATAATAATTATTTTTGTAATAAATATATATACATATATATATGATGGTATATACACATACATATGTATATATATTTGGATATTTAGAATATATTCTTATTAATAAACTCTTATGTGTCCTAAGATGTTGTAGATATATAGCCTCTCGAATAAGAACACCATAATTTATTATTTAAATATTTATACCAGTAAAAATCTTTAATTTTGGTTTTTCTTTTTTATATTGTCAAAATTAATAAAAATTAATTAATGAAATTTTTTTTTAAATTATTAATTTTCAAAAGTTAAGATCCGGTTATTTTATTCCATTTTTAGTTGTGTTAATTAGAAATCAAAAGTAAAAATAAAAGTGATCTAATTAAAAGCAAAAATTTCAATAAAACGATAAAGATCTATTAAAAAAAATGTTTCAACTTTAGTTTTTCTAAACATCATTAATTTATTTGGATTCATAAAACTGGAACAATGTCTATATGAACGTAACGTATAAACACTAGATAGCCACCCTGTATTCTGGTCAATAACACATCTTTGAATTTCAGGAGCCGTAATTAGACAAATATCTAGTTCAAAAGTCGCTCTTCTTCTGTATCTCTGATATTGATTACTTTTCACTTGAAAGTACAATAATAAATTTATTTTACCAGTTTTTTTTGTTGCAGGCAAAGAATATATGCAATTTTCATTTATATTTTTTAAAAACAATACAATTTTAACACAATATTCTTAATTTCTTAATCTAATATATTTTTTTTAATTAAACTTAATAGTCTGGGTATCTTCAAAAATTATTTACACATGAAAAGTTTTGGTATCAATAAGTTTTTACTTCAATGGCAAAGCTTTTGGTACACTACATCGTTGTAATGCTTTTCCTAGGTTTTCGAATAAATGTTTTTACAATATTTATATATAGAAATTCAAAGAAATATGTTTATTAATTTCTTTGCTGCTGAAAATTATATATTACTTTACAATTACTATTTTTGGGATTATTTACATGACATTCATAACAATGGTGCATATATATGCTTTCACAGATTTATTTTTATTTCGCATATCCACTACGCATGGTAAACAGGCTAAATGTTCCCCAGACCAAAGTTTAAAAGTTAAAAAACCACAGTTTTAAGCATGATAAATTGAATCTTCTTACGTTCATATCTGTGAATCAAAATATTATGCTTTAATAAGATATTGTACTCGTATCAATAGTTTCCAGAATTAATTCCTAAAAGAGGAAGATTTAATTTTTAAAGTTAATCCAATCAAGCCAATCCTCTTCTCCCATATTACTTTTTATTAATAAAAACTTTACAACAAAATATTAACAATAAACTTTGATAACATGTATAACATAAAATTGTTAAGCGAAATACTTTTCAAGAAAAAAGATCAATTAAAATTCTTACACTTGCCCTATTAAAAAATTTACTATTTATTCCTGTTGACATTTTGCTCATATTTTAAAAAATTTTAATTTTCATATTATAATTTTCAAGTATTTAATTAGATCAAAAATACATCTTCTTGCTTTTCAGTTGCTCTCAACAGATAATAAATAATGCAATATTATTTACATTATATTAAAGATGAAGTTAATAATCCTATATTTATTAACACTCGACACAACTTACGAATAATCATTATTATATATACGAGTCCCTTTAAAGACATAAAGAGAATTATTTCACTTAATCACTTGTGATCCTCACACACTGCAACTGGGGAATTATTGTTTGCTTCTTTTTTTGTAAATATGAAATAAGTGTTAATACATACTTTGCGTCAATTGATATACTTATGTCTTAATATTATATTTTAACTATGTTGTTCTCATTTTATTCCATTTCAAGTTTTTCACATACATGTATGATATTTACGTAAATACTATGGAAAATTTTCACTTGCTTTGGTTAAAAATTCTAAATTTCGCAGATAAGAAAAAAGAATATTAAGTAAAGACAAGATAAAAATTATTCACAAGGATATTAGAGTATATCATCAAGTCATTACCGTTAGTCTTAATAGCAATAATAATATAAAACAAAGTTTGTATGTATGCATTGAAAATATTTATATTAAAATTCATGTACATAATGTACTCGTATATAAAACATTATGAACACATATATTTAATAAATTGTTCACATATGTACATTTCGGTGTGATCTTTGATTAATTCTTACATATATTTATATTTGTAATTTATACTTAAATGTTGCAACTCAATACATTATGTATACATATACAACCACTCTTTAAATCGAACACGAAAATTTTCAAAGCCTTCACTTGCACACTGTTACTAAATGCAAGATGAATCATTTTAAAAATTAATTTTTAACATTTTTAATACAAAAGTAACAGCAAGTAAATTGTCACCTTTAATTGCTTACTTTATAGAAACAATGAAATTTTAACAAATTTTTATATGGAGGTCAGACGTAGTTTAATGTTTTTATTAAATAATCGGATTATAATCTTTTAAAATAGCATATAGTAGTATGAGATTCTAATTATATAAACTATATTATTTGTCCAATATTTAATATTTTGAAAAGAAAAAAATTTGATTAAGTACAAATAAGACTCGCCTCAACTGAAGAAATTTTATAAATCTTAAATGAATTCAAATATTACTTCGAAATCATTTCAAATATTACAGCCAATCGTGATGTTTAAAAAAACAGGTAAAAATCGAAAGTCACAATATCAAAGTATTCGAAATTTCCAGTATCAAATGTATGTAAAAAATACACACATTCGTTAATCCAAAGATACATGTAAGTATGCATAAAAAATAAATGTACTTAATGTAAACGATATGTAAGTACCATAAGTACTTTTATATTTCAATAAAAAGCAAAAGGAAAACTGAAATAAGAAAAACACGTGATGTTGAAGTACTTTAAAATAATGCAAATATCCTTTGATGTTTGACTTTTATGAGATAAAATTAAGTGGCAGTGCTTTCATATTTATCAGCTTTAGGATATTTTAAGTTTTCATATATAAGGTTTTCATACAAAACATGTGTATCTGATCAAAAAAAGTAATAAGGATAAAAGCGCACATATTCCTTTTTTGTTTTTATTCTCGTCTCATAGCGCCTCATACAAAACCATAACGTCGTTTTCCTGTTATTTCCGTTTTTGTTTTCCTTTTATAAATTCTTTTTAAAGCTTGAAATTTTTTTCTTAATTTTTTTTCACATTTAATTTTTAACAATGACTTATCAATTCTTAAAATCTTTCAATTTCGGTATTAACTTTTCGCCTTTCCTTTTCCTCGAGAAAAACAACTATTGCTGATAGAACACTTTACTTGTGTACCTTTTACAATTACCATTTTTTTTATAATGCCATTTTTTCGTAAATTGTTTTTTTTTTTGGTTTTATTTTTCAAAAGAATTTTACTGACATTCAATATTCCTACTTTTATTATTTGGAACTTTATTATCAAAGGAGTTTGGTTTGCTTTAAGTACTCTTTTTTTTCTTGTTCTTTTTTTCGCATGTTTAAGGTGAATTTGGCTTCGAAATTCTCTTATTCTTCATTTTTCTTTTGTTTTCTTCGTTTTTATTTTTGATTGTTTCAGTTTGGTGCTTTATTTTGAACTCGGGATCTGGCATCTTTTAACTTATAACATCTTTTGTTCTGATGAGTGTTGCTGTTCATAATGGACTTTTCACTTGAAATTTTTAGGTTTCAATTGAAAAGAAATTTTCCATCATCAATGCAACATAGTCGGCATAATAATTTACTTTTTTCTTTTAAAAAAGATTTTAATATATTTATATTCGTACATATATATATTAATATGTATGGACCATTAAATTTAAACGATAAAAAAGCTATAACATATCCCAACTTGAGCCCAATTCAATTTTGCAAATTTTGCATTTGAACTGTAAATACTTTGAACTCATAAAAGTACATTCCATTTATGTCCATTTATGTTACATACTGGGGATACTAAAAGGTATACAACAACATATACTATTCGTTAGAATAGTCGTACCGTATTTTATGTATCTTCGGAATACGAGGCATTCGAACTTTAAGCAAAATCAAATTTTCCTTTGTTTTATTTTTTCCGTTTTTTCTAACTAGATAATTTATGTAAGAAATTTTTTTATAGACTTGTGTTCAGATACTTAAGCTTGAATTTAAGTCCTCAAACACTAAAAAAATTTTTATGGTACAGCAAATTTAGAACAAAAACCATTTCCATGTTAAGATTTTGAAGCCCCTATTTTTCAATATTTTTTATTTTTACTTATTTTAAGCGCTGTAATTATCAACTATCATTAATTTTGGATTATGAGAGTGTTGTTTTGGATGAACATCACGTTATTTGTAAAAATCTTAATAATTCTTTCAAGGAAAACATTGAATTATCGAAATACAACAAATAATAACAAAATTGAAACAAATCTTATAAAAACTTTTAATTTGAAAAACAAAAATTGATTTTCAAAAATTTGAAATTTTTGAAAAGAAAAACTAGAATTTTGTATATTAGGAAAAACAGAAAAAAATCTAGTAATCAAAAATTTTTTTTCGAAACTTTTCTTGGTAAAAAAAATTATAAGTTTTTAATTTTTGCCAAATTTTATAAGAAATGGTACCTATATGGTTTGAAATTTTTAAATGCATTTTTCTCACATTGGGTGCAATTTAAAAATTTTAAAAAATCATTTTCGGAATCTAGGCACCATTTGGCATCTGAAGTTATTAAAATTATCGAGCTGAAGCGAATTTTTGAAGACATGCCCATATAAAATTTATTTACTAGATATTTATTTTATTAGAAAAAATTTTTTTTTAATAGGAAAATTAATTTTTTCACACAAAATGGAGTTTGTAAATGATATGTTATTAATATTGTGAAGTTAATAAATAATTATAAATAATTTAAGGGGATTAATAAATTTTCAACATATTTTTCAAAAAATTGGTAAACGGGTGATACAACTAAAGAGGAATGATGAGTAAAGCAATTAAACATGCGATTGAATAGAAACAGATTTGAAAGAAGAAAACTTAAATTTTTCCCGAATTAGGTGACTTTCATAGGAGAATTTGGTATTCGTTTTGAGAAATTTGTTAAATTCGTATTTTTCCAAATTTGTGATAAAAGAATATTACTCGTAAATTGAATTTAATTTTAGTTTTGTCAACATCTGGTTTGATTTTAATTAAATTTTTGGCTTACAATATTTGTGGTTTCTGTGCCATATCTTCTATACCATAAAACATTTTTTAATGCTTAAATTAAAGCTTA